CCCTAAACGCATAAGGCAGCGTCAGGATTGTAGGCCCGACGATCGCCGTCGTCAGATGAAACCCCGCATGCCACCACTTCCCTATATCAAAACAGAGAGAAAAGCATAACTGCGAGCTTAAAAAATTCGCTTAGTATTGATGACATAATCAATGTCTATCTTTTTTTGTGCTCACCTTTTGATTCGAGAACAAAGACTGCTCCGGCGTCAGAGTCTAGGCGGGACTCCTGGAACGGGTCCGATTGCGGAGGTTGAGCCATATTTGGGTGGCCTGGACTTTGAAGCTGGAGAAAACTGACTTCTTGGAAGCGTCGAAACCGAAACTAAGCCTACATACCTTAGCCGCCCTAGTACGTGAAACGGAATATTAAGTAGTAGGCTGTTGCTATGACCTTAGTAAGAACGTAATCCATCGGCTTTGGTAGGGAGATAAAAAAAGGAGGGCTAAGGCTTTCTTTACTTGTTTCAATTTGAAGGGAAATTACGCGATTAACCTGTGCAAGCATCTGACAGAAACATGGGTGGCAAAGGGCGATTCGGTACTTTGAAACATTGGTGGAATGAGGAACTAAAGGCAATCCAAGAAACACTGAAAGCGGCCTTGCATCATATCTAGAAAAAGAAATACTTGTAGATATGAGAGAGAAGCAGAAATGCTAAAGCAACCTTAATGCAGAACTGAACAAGATAAGGTGGAGAACCTGTCATGAGAAATGTTCTTTGTTCCTGTCAAAAGTCCATCAGAAAGCAATTGAAATACATAGAGCAGCGCATGTATTTCTTCAGCTGATCAGCTTCCTTTTCACTACTGCTGTTTGTGATCGAGCCCTCTTGGAGGGTAACGCGGAAAAGTTTTCTTTACCTGTTTTGATTGCTTGGACGAAAATTTGCGGCAAGGCACTCGGAGAGACTAGGATTAGTGGAAGTAATCAAAATCAAATGGAACGGAATTCTATCATTGATTGAGACGGCTAGCTGATTGCTTTACTCGTATGGCTGACGTTAATATTAGACCACAGATAATTCCAAGTAGGTGAATGGTAAACTTACAATTGACTGGGTCCTACAAGATAGAAAATAATTGCTTGCGCTTGCTTGGCTGTCTCTAATACGCAATTGGATCACTAACGGTCTCTAATAGTGTATCCAAATTATATCATATCTAAATTTTATTTTTTTAATGCTTATTTGGCTCGATATTTTTATTTATATTTTTTAGTATCTGTTTGACTAGTTTTTTTTTAATTTATTTATTTATTAAAAATAAAAGTTGTAGCAAACATAATTTTGAGATATTTTTTAGAAAACAAGAACAAAATCTGAAAAAAAGAATTTAAAAAAAAACTCAAAAGAAAGAGGCTTTCTCTTCTCATTTAAAAAAAAAATTTATTTTATTTTAAAAAATCCTTATCTATTAAAAATAATCTCGATATTACACCATAAAAAAACTTTCTTAAAAAATACTTTTTATAATAATTTTAACTAAAATTAAAATTTAAAAATTATCCTGTCAAACAACTTATTTATAAAAAAAATTTATAAAAGTAAGTTTATCAAATTATTTTAATTTAATTTTAAAATTATTATTTTTTATAAGAGTTTCATGACTTTTGAATTAAAAAAAATCCAACCAAACAAGCTTTTAATATGGAGTATCTTATATTAAAATATAGTAAAAAATTTTAAAATTCATTAAAAGAAATATGTATGCAGGTAAGATAAAAAAAATAAAAAAAATTATATCCATTAGTAAAATTAAGAATTATATGATATAAATAAATGAGTTTTTAATAATTAAATAAAATTAATTTAATAAAAAATATATTAATACATATCGTGAATGGTAAAACATAGTTTCAATATAATATCAGAACAATACAATATATGAGTTTTTACCATTTTTAGAGTCCATCATAATATATTGCACGGTAGATATCACGTATACTACGTTATTATAACTATGACCTAGAGTGAAATTTCTGAACCTAATGCATATGGTTAATGCTTAGTCATTAGTCAACCACGTCACTGCTAAAGAGCTTGAAAGTGTTAGCATCAAGAACCAATTTCCTGATAGAGGAAAACGCGCCCATGATTCCCACACCTGTGAAGGCAATGATGATGAACAAATTGAGCCAGTAGGTGAAAGACAATCTTGAAGGCTTATGGGTCATGTTGTAGAGAAGCATAGGGAGGATGAAATCTAGCGGGATGAAGCCGATAGCGCCCACAACACCGCTTATATCACCGAAGAAAGGAAGCATCGCTGCCATAAACCCACAGAATATCACATACAGTGACCGGAGGATTAGCCTAGGGATCAGGTTCCTTTTGGAAAACATCCCTTGTTTCACATCGGCTGATTGCTTTTCCATGATCTCATAAGCAACTTGAGAATAAACCTGTTTTGTGTTTGGAGAAAGAATATTACCCCAATGCAACTAAACAAAAAATGGAAATGAATCAACAGAATACAGTTTCTCCATGATTTGACCGCAAGCGAGCATATGGATAGCTTACCAAGCCAATGGCTAAGAGTTGCAGGAGAACAAATAAAACTGCAAGGCCAAGAAGCATGGTTGGGGCCAAGGAAGGTGCTTCATCTGGCATCAGACTCTTGAGAATGTTTGAATTAGATTTGTTGCCGAACACCCAGTATCCAGAGACTGCAGCAGAATAGAAAGTAAAGAAGGCCACAGTGTAACACATCAGCAGTCCTTTTACCATCTTTCCTGTAGCAGGCGGAGCCAGAGTTGCCTGTAACAATGAGAATCTTCAGAGGAAAAACGAAGAAGGTTCAAAGCCTTTCAGTAGAAAATCTCAGAATCTTCCAGCTCAGAAGGTTCAAACCAAATATAAAGATTCATGCAAGAGTTGAAATTACTTGTATTTCAGGAAGTATCCCGTTCCCAAAAATTGCAGCTATTATGGAAATGGAAGTGAAGGCACTAAACACCCTTGCTGAACTTGAAGATTCTAAGGAATAGTCCCGAGCGGGGGCATTTTTGGATAGACCTGCCGTAAAAATTACAAGTTATTCAAATCCAGGAATGAAGCTACAGAGGTGTCTCTACATATTGATAATAAATGAAGAGAATTCTGCTCAAAAAGAATGGCGGAAATTATTAGAGTCTTTAACTCAAAGGATAGTTATCTTACAATAATAGAAGCAATCAATTCTTTTAGGTTTCTAGTTGTTTGAAGTTAACTCATTATGCCAGCAGGTTTAGCCATTAAAAGTGTGTTTATCCTCTTGTTCCATTTAAAGTCTCAGTGACTCGAAGCTAAAAAGCTTCCTTCAGAAAGTAGCAACTTGTGATCACCAAGTCTATTCATTGGTTGGGCTTGATATTAAAATGTATTTAACACATTTATGGAGACACCTTCAGCATAGCATTGAATCACTCACATGCTTGTCAGTACGAAATCTAAACCAGTCAACCTAATCTGCTTTCTGCTTCAAACAAGAAAAGAGAACGAAGGCTGGACCGTGTTTTGAATTATTTGAAAAGATATGTTATCATCAAGAAAAATAAGAACGTTCTCCACCATATGACCCAGTTTATCTCTGATTTTTTCTTCCAGGCAGATATAAGAATTATGAATGCTTAAGTCTTCTACTTAACAATAGTAACAGCTTATAAACAAAGATTTTAAAGCAGGTCAATGATTTCTATACCTGCATGAATGCAAGCACCAACCACAAGGAAACTGTACCCCAAGCAGAGAAGAAGCGAAATTAAATTGATATGTCTGAGGGAGTGGAAGGATGGAAGCTGAGAGAGAACTATCATCACCACTGTCACCATTGCTATAAACTCATACAGCCTCAAGGATCCATTGGGAGAAAGGTTCTCATACATGATCTTTCCACAATCAAAACAGGCAAAATTACAAGAGATAAAGAAGAATAATTAGTACTGTCATTCACCCATGAATCACTTTCATTAAGTTTCATATTCATTAGTACATCTAAAATACTATGATAGCACAAAATCCCCACCCAAAATGTCAGGAAAAAACCATCATTCTTATCAGCTTTAGTTTGAACCAATGCCAGTACAACACAGTTCTAGATAATATTTGGCCAAATCTTTTACTCCGAGTTTTCTCCTGATTCTCATCTCCTAAGCAGTGACCTTTAGATTTTATTGCTCCGTACACAAAGGTCCCCATCTTCAAACCAGAGCTAGCCACGAGGCCTTACCACAAGAAGGAAATAAATGATCAAATAACTGACTGGGGCAACAAATGAAGGGTACCTTATCACTATCCTTGGAAAAAACAAAGTAGGTAGGTATCAATCATCCCTATCCAAGCTTGTCCACGTTACAAAGAAAAACTTTTGTTCACATGCTTTTATCAGATAAAACTTGCGGTTGTTAATGGCAAGACTTGGCTTGCTTTAGAAGCAATCACAATGCTTATCTATATATCAGACCCCAAACCTTCCATATGTAATCAATAGACGGAGGGCCATACCTTAAGGCACTGCCCCGCAAGCAAAATCGCTCCTATTCCGACCCCTGTATTGATAGCAGTTTGGATGAATATAACAAAATAAAACATCCATCCAGACCCTGCATGAAACACATGAGAGGTAAGATTTGAACCCAATTTACTTGCTCATTTAGCATTTCCTTTTTTGCTTTTGTAGACTTCTTTCTAAATATACAATCAACAAAACCCACCTACAGATAAATGAAAGAATTTAGAAATACAAAAATTCAACTTATACACTGTTAATGAATATGATAATAATTCTTATGAATAGTACTAGCATACTATTATATATTTTTCATTCCATTAACTTTTTGCTTTAGAAAAAGGTTCCAAAACTATAAGAAATAGTGAATTTACTGCTAATCATCATAGGACAATGCACACCTTCATTTCCATGGAAAATATGCTAAAGAAATCATCTTAAACGACGTCGCATCAAAACCAGTTTTGTCCTTATTGAGCTCTTTTATATTTACTTCCAACCTATCAACTAAAGCCACGTACACATTTTTTGCATCATGTGATGTCGAAATGGCAAAAGCAACCTAATTTTTATTCTCCGAATGACGTCAACTGTCTTTAAGCTGCCCAAAACCCAGCCCATAAAGGATGGCGACTTAGTAGTATAAAATACTACTGTAATAATTAATTAAATGATCCAACTTTTACGCTTACTGAAGACTGACAACTAAAAAAAGGGCCCGAAACAAAACGCTACCGGTCAACACGAAGCAACCATTGCATGATCGAGTAAGAAAAAATATTGCTAGTTGTTACCTAGAACGTCGGCGGCGAGCTCGCGGAAGCGGATGTGGCGGCGACCAGCTTTTTCGCAGTGTTCAAGCACCCTGGACATGAGATAGTAAGAGTAGAAGGTGACGCATCCCAACGCCGTCAAACAGAATAAGCCGAGGCCCCACCCCAGTCCCCGGAATGCGTAAGGCAGCGTCAGAATTGTGGGCCCGACTATCGCCGTCGTTAGATGATACCCCGCATGCCACCACTTCCCTATCAAAACCCAAAAAAGGAAAATGACAATTTGCTTTAATCTTATATATAAACTTAGAGCTTCATATTCAAGTCTTGATCTCTAATGAAAACTGTGGTTCTACACCTTTTGATTCAAGAACGAAGGTTGCTCCGGCATCGGATTCCAGGCTGGATTCTGGGAAAAGGTCTGGTTGCGGAGGTTTCGCCATTCTTAGCGCGCACGTTAGGCAAAGATGGAGGAGGATGAGAGTTAAGGTAGTTTTTGGAGGGTGGCGAAACTAAGCTAACGTACGCCAGCAGCCACTGGAGCAGGGCTGACGAAGGAGTAATATTTGTATGAACAACTTACAAACAGAGTTGATTTCGTCTGAAATATAAAAAGAATAGGGGGGGTCCATGTAACTTTTCTATTAGTTCTATATTTGTTTTTCTAATCTTTCAATCGGATGCGTAATTACCGGACTAGCATTATGGTATAAAGGGTGGTTGGATGAGTAAAGGATGATTTCCTTTGGATGGGGGGCATGGAGAGTCTTTCATGTCTGTCTTGCGCAACCGATTTGGACGGGACGAGTCAGTAAGTTTTCCGGTTTGAAGAAGTACTTTTTGTGAACAATTGTATTGTAATTCTAGATTTTGAAATCAAATTGCAATTCCATCGACATCAACCAGAGAACATTGGATTAGAGCTTGAATAAAAAAATTACAGTCAGAAAAGTAAAAATCCAAATGTGAAACAATCAGATCCTAGTTGAACAGCTCAAAAAGCCTAAGCTATCTAACGGACTTATGTTCAACAAATACTTGAACATCAACAAAACATCAATAGAGCGATGTCAGTCTTCACTGTTGCTGCTGCTTTTTCTCCGCAGCTTCTGCAACAGATTTGTTGTAGTCCTCCAAATCTTTCTTGTATGCTTCCATGGCTTCAGCAGCTTTGGCATTCCAAACATTCTTCTCTTCCTCACTAATTTCCTATAAAGACAAAGCCCAATGTGAGTGAAATAGATTTAGAATTGTAACTGCAGAATTGGGATTTGGGACAAATTCATACCTTCCATTTCACTGAAATCAGAGCATTAAGAGTAGCATTGTTGATTCCTGGTCGCTCTTGCATCAGGGTTTTCCTTGCTTCCTTACTGAACAGAAGGAATGAAGAAGCAGGCTTCTTGGGTCTGTTAGGGTCAGAGCTCTGCTGCTTCTTCTTCTGGCGTTTCTCTTTGGTCTTCTTAATGATATTTTCCGTCTTCTCTTTCTTCTTAAGCAGTTGAAGAGCTTCTTGTTTCTGAAGTTTCATCATCTCCTCCTCTTCCTTTCTAAGACTCAGAGCTTCTTCCTCCTTTTTCTGCTTGTAAACCTCCATTTCCTGCATGTATTTCTCCTTCATCTTCTTCGCCATCTGCAATTTAAAAAAAAAAATTTAAGAGATCGAACCAAGCAAGTAAAAAGTTTATGGAAATTCGTGTCTTTTTCCACAGATCTAATACCTCCTCATAAGTCCCTCTTTGTCCTTCAGTCATGTTCTTCCATTCTTCGCCAGTGATTTTCGCAACCTCCAGGACGTTCTTGTTCTCTGCAAGAAGAGCTGCCCTCCTCTCATTTGAGAACAAGAAAAATGCTGACATCGGTTGCTTTGGCTTCAATGGATCCCTTTCTTTCTTGGTCTTCTTGGTCTCCTTCTCTGCTTCCTGTCTGAACTGCAAGTACTGTTCAAGTAACTGCATGGCAGTCTTCTGCTTATGCTCATCTTCTAAGAGCTTCATGGCTTCGCACTCGCGCTTCTCTTTTGCAATCACCTGCAAATATGCCTCCTTTTCTGCGTGATATTTCTCTTCGTAAGGCTTCTTCTCTTCAGCAGTAATGGTCTTCCATTTCGCCCCCAAAATATTGGAGACCTCTTTGAAATCTGCCTCTGGATTCTCCTTCTTGACCTAAAATCAAACCTCCCCAAATTAGCACAAGAAATTGAGACTGAAAGTTAAAAAAAAAAAAATCATTATTCAATATTTTCAGTATCCAGTTCGCTAAATTTTACCTCGTTCCATTGATCTTTGCACCATAAGATATAAGGCGGAGCTGGCCTTTTCTTTTCAGGACCTCCCTTCTTCTTCTCTTTCTTGTCCTGTTCCTTGTCTTTCAAAGATTGAGCAATTGGGAAAGTCTGAAGAAAAGAACCAAGAATTAGAACCATCCAAACCTAAAATCAAGAAAGAAAGAATAGACAAATCAAGAATAGAAAAAGTACCATGGTGGGCCTGAACTCCTTCATCTTCTGTAATTTCTTCAACTCCGTCTGCAATTTCTCTTGTTCTTTTCCCTTGGTCTCAAGCTCCTCCTCCTTCATCTTCAGCATCTCATCTTTCTCCTTCAATAACTCCTCAGTCTTCTCTTTCTCGATCCTCAACTTCTGAAGCATCTCTTGCATTTCCTGCAAGTCTTTCTCGAAAGACTGCTGCTGCTGCTTACCCTGTTTCCCTCTGGCGGCAACCTTCCCTTTCTTGGGGGAAGTGAGAGGCTGAGAGAGCCCCTCTTGGTTCTCTTTTGACGGATCGGCTTCCATTGGGGAAGCAACTGGAGTCGGGGAAGCCTGCGAGAGCTTTTGTGCCAGGATATTCGCTTCATTTGTTGATGGGTTTTTCTGTTTCAGGGCTTTCCTTCCGTTGTTTCTTGATTTCTTGGGCACATAAACAACCGCTGCATCAGCCATCATGGGGAAGGGAAGAAAAATGGAGAGAAAATGGGTTTGTTGAGATATGAGCGGATAGGATAGTTGAGAGGAAGAGCGGTGCGTTTATAAAAGGGGAGCGCAACGGTCCGATTTTTCAAATTCAAAAATAAGTTCTTTCAGATTTAAGAGGGGGCGTGGCGTCCAGCTTTAAAAGTTTTTTGACCGTTGATGGGGATTGTTTGGATTTATTACCACGAAAGGGAATATTCCCCAAAAAACTGCCTGCATTAGTTTCTTGAGCTTTTAATCAAGGGAAATAATCCATGGTGTAATCCCCTCATTTAGAAATATACTGATATTTTTTGAATATTTAAAAATTTTGGATTTAATGCAAGAACTTTAATAATACAATGTATTTTAGGATGTAATATACTGCACAGGTGCCAGTACCCTAATCATGTATGCAGCAATGGGCAGCAATCAATGAATTTTAGAATCGAGGTTACAATTTTTAACGCATGGATTACAAACAAGTATGATTCATCTATTCATGGATTCTATTCCTGTCCAGTAATTCCCTGTATGAGGCAGAGAACGATGAGTGACTCAGCGGCGGGAAACAGAGGAACCACTGGCATTCAGAGGATAGAAGGCCAGGGTTCATCTAATAGCTATGAAGGAGAATCACTCAGGCTTTTGCACTGTCAAAATTTCTGAGACAAACCAAACTCTAGAATGGGGCAGGGAAATTTCTTAACTAACCATTAACCATCATTTCCATAATCACATCGTTCCAAAAGTCCATTGGTCCTGGTAAACACCAATGTAGACAGTCATTCTGAACGACTGCTGTTTTGTTCTCAGCAAATGGCTGAAACTGACGGTATGGTCCTGGGTGCCCATCTGGCCTCAACAATAAGAGATTTGTGAAGTCCAGAAGCTTAAGTTTCACCCCATTGTCAGCAGCTTTTGCTGCTGTCTTCTCAAACTCTTCCAGTTCAACATTGCGTAGAATCCTGTTCAAGTCCTTTATTTCAATCTCTCCTTCTTTAGCTGGTGTTGTCCTCCGACAAGTCCCTCCATTATGCCATTCCCCATTCTCAAAGTGATCTGGCGTGGACGTCCTAAAAAAGATCAAGCCCTTATGCTTTGATGTTGCAATGAAGTCCATGACATAGTGGAGGGTTTTGTTGTAAGCATAAACAAATCCTAATTCTGTCAGGTTTTTTTCGGGACATATATGGCAGCCAACTACGGTATCATTCTCATGGTAGATCGCAGCCTTGAGAAACCATTTTCCAGTTGAGATTATCATGTAATCTAAGCTCTGGTAGACATCTGTCCATGTCTTATCAAGCTTGTCCAGATGCAGCTGAACTTCAGCTGTAGAAACACCATTGTTATCTTCAAAAATAGCAGCCTTTACAAGAAAGGGAGACCAAATATTTGATATTGAGAAATTGTATGACGGGAAATGCCATCTCTTTGATTTGTATTCCTCATCATGATAAACTTCAACAGGTTGTTCAACCTGAAAGTTTTATGGAAAAGTAAATATCATTAATAACCACTCCACAGAACAAAACATTATGAACAAGGAGATAGTTTTGCTTACAGCCATAGTAAACATACAATAGTTTAAAGCCAGGTAAATATATGCAGAATAATTTGCTGTTCAGTGTTAAAAATAGTACAAATTGCTTGGCCACTAAATTCATAAACATCACAAAACAAACCAGAAAGATTTAGCGCACAAGATTTCAGGTGCTTATTCAAAACAAAATACGTGAAAAGAACTAAGTCAAACAATGACCATCCACTGCACCTCTCCTTCTAGAATTCATTATCAAGACAAAATGCTTCAGTGTTTTTTCTTTAATAGATAAGTCAAACAAGGCTTCTTGCTTTAGCAATTCCACCACAATTTTAAGTCAATAATAGATCTAAAAACATAGCTAACATAATCAAAATCTCAGGTAAAAGATTGCTAACCAAGGCCGATTAGTGACCAAGCAAACAGATCAATCACTTTATCAACCTCAAAGTGATTTACACATTTCTGTAATCAAGCCTTTGCCTTCATATATCCAGATTTGACTCATCAAACTTACAGAACATTGAGATAGCAACTAAAGGGAGCAAGAAATATGACAGGGTTATTAGCTACCAAGAACAGCACTAATGAAGTAAGTCCCTTATAACACAATGACACATGGGTGAGAAAATATCACGGTTTTGATTAGTGACAGTATATTTATCAGATTACAAAAAGTTTCACAGTCAAACTTTTCCCTGTCTTGACAAAGTAAATCCATGTCATTTAGAACAGAAAGAAAGATTTTGTATGTGCTAGTGCCTCATGTATCTGCTATCTGAGCACAATATGATGGAATGCTGATCTTTATCAGCAGGAGTGAAGTGATTCTGCAATACCAGATGCAATCAACAACAAACAAAGCACATGAGCATGTTGATGCACGATATTTGGAAAATCTCACATGCAACCCTTAGGAAGTGCAGCGCAAACACTTTCACAGGATTCAACAAAATACCCCAAATTTCCAATCGTTTTAAATTAGCATCAAAGTGCATGAGTCATTATTCACACAAGCCTAGCATTTAAGTTGGTTGTATTAGTTACCAAGCCAGCACATCAACTAGTGAAGTGACAATAACCAAAAAATCACATAGGAGTGAAATACCTTTGTTTACCACAAAATCAAATGATAATACTGTCCAATGCTCTCAAATTAATAAGTTCAAAGGCATGGTTGCAACATTAAAATAGTTTGTAGAGAGAAAAGTATGATAAACACTAGCAACCACTAAAATAGCTTCTACCCTAAGATAAATTCCTCACCATCTAGTTGATCTAGTTAGCAATGTTGGGAAATATAAAACCAACAGATCAGAGTGACCAGCAGAAGCATGGTCAGTCCATAACGACAGGTCCCAGGATCACAACCTGGCTCTAACAACAGAGTAACTTTGCTAACCAATATTTTCTTTTCCCTTCATGGTACCTAAGATAACTGATTTCATCTTTTTCCTTCTATGAGGAGAAAGAGAGAATTAATCTTTATTTTAGAACTGGTGCAAGTCATATACTAGCACAGAAGTACACAGAAAACCATATAATTCTTATGATAAAGTGGAAAGTCGAGGCCAGGGAAGCCAGATTTTTTTCTAGTTTATATCACCCAAAGACTGTTAAAATTTGCTATAACTGTTGAAACACATACTGTTGTGAGCATGCACAGCAGTGACTGCACATGGTTGCGAGATATGGAATCACCAATCAAAGCCCATGCTTTATTTCTCATCAACTCCAGAAATCTCCCCGCATTAAATCGTGGTAACTGACAATCACGCGGTTTCCACTTCCAGTATAGATACTCAGCATCAGGTCGGCCATTCCTCAAACAATTCTGATGACCCTCTATCAAGGGGCAGCTCCTGTTGGTGTAAGTTGGGCCTGAGGGATTGGGAATCCAATCCCCTGTAAGGAGATCACACTTTTCTGCAACAATGTCTGGTGCAACCACAAATTTAAACAATTAAGCTGCAACATTAAAACAAACTCACTAAAAAAAATAACAAAACCTTGTATGTGAGATGTTAATAACAAAAGTAATAGTTCAATAAACAATGGATGGCAATATCGATCAACTTAATAAATGCAGTATCACAATAACAAGGAGAAGCTCCTTCACTCCATCCCATAAAAAGGACAGTTTTCATCAACAATTAGGAGGTAAGACACTGAACAAAGTAGGTAAAAGTACCAATCGGCTAAGAAGAACCAATAACACAAAAATCAGAACAAGGTCCACCAGAATCCAGTATTCTACATTAACATAAATCAACTTGGAAGAAACCCATCAAAATTTTCAATCTTTCTAATCAAAAACAATATTGTAAAATGTAAATCAGCAGATCTCAGAATACCAACTCTACTCACAGCTGATTCAATGTCATTGAGCATGAAAAGAAACAATACAAATAGAAAAAAAAAACGAAAAACAAAAACCCAATAGGAAAAAAGATCCAAATTTAGTTACCTAGAGGCATCTGATCTTCATTTTCAGGTATTTCAACAGCGACAGGAGGTTTCAAGTCTGGTCCTTGAACTTGCTCTTTCCCCAACACAGGGGATTCTAAATCAGATGCAGATCCTTTGGAACGAGAAACGAAGAGCCTAAAAGCAAGACCCACTAAGAGAACAGCAACAGCAAGCTTTACAAGCATGTGTTGATGCTTGTTCAGAGACCATGACTTCCAGTTTACTCTCATTTTTTTTCTTCTTTTTTTTCCTACTTTGTTTTGTTTCAGCAAACTGGAATGGCTGCACTTTTGTGGGTGCTTCCCTAAACTTGGGTAGTGAGCAAGAATCCAAATTATTGAGCTGGGAATTCAGAAGACCGACATTGGATTCTGTATCGAATTATTGAAGTACATGCTTTTATTACGGTATTAACAGATGAGGACCGAGGAGTACTAAACAATTCTTTTTTTTGGGGTAGATTTTGTTTTTTTTGCCTTTTTAAAGGTTGCTGTTTACAATTATTAATCAATTATTAATCTTTGTTAACTTTGCTTTATTAACAGGTGGCGGTTAAGACAGCTTGAATAGTTTATTAAGAAAAGAAAGTGATTATTACTAAAGTAACGTTTGCTACTTTATTAATAGATGACAGTTAGGACAGCTTGAATAGTTTATTAAGAAAAGGACGTGATTATTACTAAAGTAATATTTAATATTTTATAATATAATATGATTATAAATAATGTAATTATAAATAATATGATAATAAAAAATGATATTATAATATTTGATATATAAATAAAATAAAAATTTAAATGTAAAAAAAATAATATTACGATGTTTGGTTTATAAGTAATATATTAAGAATATAATATTAATTTTTAAAATTATTTTTATTGATTAAATATAAATTTAATATATTTATATTTTTTATTATTAATTTTTATATAATATTATCTCTTAAATATAATTTTAATATTATATATTTATTTTCATTTTTTATTTTAATATTATATATTTTATTTTTATTTTTAATATAATTTTTTATATTATATATTTTCTTTTCTTTTCTTTTATCTATATTATATAAATTTTAATTTTTTATATTATATTATATTTTTTAATTTTTATATTATATATTTTATTTTAATATGTTTATTTTAATTATAACATTGTAAAATGTTTTTAATAAAATAATAAAATTAAAAGGTAAAAATGTTTTTAATTACATTGCAGCGTGCAATGTATTGTAATTTTATTGCTTTTGGACCGTAATCACATTTCATCCATTGATTATAATGTGATTGCATTGTAATATTTTATTGTAATGATCTATTACAAAATAAGTCTTACAATGTAATTTAATTAAACACATTACATGAAATATGCTCTTATTTCTCTTATATCAAATGCTTCCTAAGTACTAGTAATAAAAAAAAATTTTAAAATTTGAATAAAATGAAATATAATTACGTTAATGAACAATTAAATTAAGATCTCGTTTTACATGGTATTTGCTGTGTTAAATAATGCCTTTAATCTAAATAGAAATGCCTATTGCATGTTAATTTGGTTTCAAAGTGTTTTTTTTCTATATATATATATTGTGTCAATTGCAAAACCATTTTTTAGTATCAAATAATCAAAATAATTATTTATATTTTTTAAATTACAAAGTTACCCTTTTTATTATTTGAAATAAAATTTTAGTGCATTTCAAATAATTAAAAATATAGTAAGTGAATAATTATTTAATTTCTAATTTGAAGCAATATCTTTTAGGTAAAATCAAACCCAAGGTTCAAGCAAAAGAGCAGTGCTTTCTGTTGGCAAACGTTGTGCTAGTATGATCTCTTAAGAAACCTTAACAGCTGATTGTTGTGCACATCTGGTTCTGTTAATGTATTTTAATGAATATAGTACTATTCCCTGGATTACCAAATTTGCTGCAATGGTGGGCTGATAGCCACAACATGAATACTAAACATCAAAGTCAGAAGAGTTGCACCACATCCATAAACTTTCTGCAATTCTTAATTAGGTGTCACAGGAAACAAAATAGAGCCGTTGAGGTCAACCCTTCTGCTGCATAAGCTGCCATCCAGCTCTCAACACCGTCTCTCTCATTTATTTTTGACAATGACTTCTTTCCTTCCTGCCTCCTAAGTAAAGCAATGAATTCATTTTGCAAGGACTTCACAACTGAGAATCTTTTTTCTGCTCTGTTAGCCATTACCATGTCAGTAGGCCAAGCATGATCTGGAAACCTTTCCTACAAGTTTTACCCAAGATTTAAGAGGATTATGCTAGCGCCTGGCTCTAAACTGGCTGCCAAACTCACAATAACCTGAGCTGAATGGAATAACTAATGATTTACCGTGTGAAAGACTGAAGCCTCACCAGGCAGATGGTAAACATTTCCAGATTTAAGAATAGACAGGAAACATCCAACAAAATTTCAACACCTTGCCCACATGACCCATCCTCGGTCTCCAAGAAGACTATGCACACACCGAAAAGAAGAGGGGGGCAAAAATGAGGGAAAGAAAGGGAAGGCTTAAACCTGACATAGACATGGTCTGTCCATTGATTGAGAGAGGATGGTCTCCTCAGTTCAACATAGACACTCCACACATGACACATGGCAAATATCATATGGCAAAACCAAGGAAAGATCCAAATGCACAAACAAGCATGTATCTTTAATCCAACTTTTCTTGTTATAAATACAACCAATTACAAAGGATTTGGACATTCCACCAACCATATAGAAAAAGGTTTTTATAGGATTATCAAACAAATATCAGTATGGCTGCAAGGGGAAAAAGCAATTGCTTCTTCGGATTAATTATCAGAGGAAGCTGTAGCACCTGCTTCCAATGGGTTGAAGAAATCTAACGAGCTCTTTATTCACTCAACCACACCAGGGAGCCGCATGCCAACTCCACGCTTTTCTTTCTCCACTCTGTTACCCAAATGACAACAGTTAACAATCCAGGAGGACAAATTATACAGCAAATTTTAAATGTAGATATAACTGCCTAACATATGTCTCTATGCAATGGAAAAGGGAAGTGGCAATATCTGAAGTTGACAGTTTATTTACTAATAAATTAACTTCCTAGTAGTTCATTACCTAAAAGGAATTATACCACAGCTTTTTCCTATCAGTTCCTGAACTATAGGCCAAACAAAACATACCTTTTAAAGATTAAAAAATATCATTACTATTTCACATAAAGAAATGCAGATGACATCCAATTCTTTGGCAGTAAGAAAATGCACAAAATGAAAAATGGTCTGCATGTTGTTCATATTATCAAACAATTCTACAGATGCTGCAAAATTTCCATCATTCTTACATGGGTAAACAAGTTATTCGTCCATTCTTCTCCATCATTGTTATGTTTTCCCCTTTCTGTGTTTTTAAGTTGCACAACTGCATTGATAGTTTAAGTCATCTACATTACATCTATTATAAGAGTTCAGCAGTACTTAATCTAGGCATGCTTAGAAGGATATGCATGAAATTACCAGTAATTTCCGGGACGAATTGGCCCCGCTTGCTTTTCAGCCTTTCTAACTGCAGAGTCAGACATATCTTTTCCATTCACCAGAACATTAGGTCTTTCATTCTTTATGTGATCATTAGATCTCGAGAAATCTCTAAAGCTTTTCTTAATAAGACCGACTAAAAATGATTTGCTCCCTTTGTGGAGTTTCAAGTGGTTTTCCTCTTTGCTTGCTTGCAAAGTGTCTTTAGATGAACTTGAATTAAGATATCCACTGAATGAAAGTTCCACCTCAGTTGCCACTGGCGCATTTTTCTCAGAGACAACTTGAAAGGCATTTTTCAGCAGGATAACCTTCTCTTGTTGTACTAGTTTTGTCCTATTTCCCTTCCTACTCCCACTCACTGCTTGATTAGATGATGGAATGCTGACTTGCTCCTGAAAAGGTAAACTTGAGACTGCAGGGGAAATATCGTAACTAGATGGCTGCTCCGGAGAGCCAGGAGAATCTTTCCAATCAATCACATTATTAGGGCTCTCTACTTCCTTAGAAGATGTTTGGTCATAACCAGAATGTTCAATATTACTGGAGCTGGGGATAGTGGCACCAGCATTAAAACATCCAAGAGAACTTAGGTGGCTTTCATTCAATAACTCAGAAGACTTTTGTTCAGCCTCAGAAGGTCTTTGCTTTGGATTTCCAGGAACAGAAATAATCAGTCTCTTCTTCTCCATTTCAAATACAATCGCAGTTGAACAAGCACCGCATCGTAATCTCTGGTCATTCTTCATTGTTTTTCCTAATTTCCTAGGCAATTTTAACAATGCCAAGCATTTATGGCATGTTATAAATGGAGCACCATTGGCTATTGGGTGACAAATTCGTTTATCCCTGCAGGCTAGCACTACCCTTCTAGGACATCTTCGACCAAAACCATCAATATCTGAATCGATGTCACTTGGCCATACGTGCACTGATGAATCTTGAAAGTTCACTTGAAGGCATTGGGCAGTTCTAGGAAGATAATGCTGCCGAACTCCATCAGAATTCACATAATGATTGAAATTGGAATTGCAAGGGTCCTTCAAAAACCTTCTCTTGCTAAAATCTGGTGGGACTTGCGAAGGGCCTTTCAAATTTTTGTCATGGCAATGTAAACATGAGCATGCAGGGAGGTGATACAAGGTTTCATCTGGATTTGGATATGATGGAAGAAGATCTTCATTATGCCTTGAAGAGTAGCCATAAGTCCTATGCTGAGGGTGGTTATGGGTTACTTGCTGATGCCATCTTCGGTGCATACCTGGTGAGAGAGAATCTCCATACCCAGGCATCTTGCGACAAACATGCTTGGAAGCTGGATGGGCATTTCCATAGTGCTGCACATGATGATCATCATTCATAGAACTATGATTTAAATAAGTCAACTCTGAAACATGAGGATGTTGTGCAGAACGATGATGAGCAGAAGACTTGTTCCCAATAGAACCACCAAGAGGGTCACCAGAAGCTATTATGTTATCACTAGGAACCATATCCCTGGGTCTCTGGAGCAGTTGATCTTTTAACTCATCCAGCTCCTTGAGCAGCTGAGTTCGATCAAAATTTTGAATCACACTAGGCACATCTAGGTATTTAAAACTCCTCACTGGTTTGTGGTAGCCATAGACAGAACCATACCTATAATTTGAAGGTCCCTCATCAGGATAACGGAAAGCTGAAAATCTCTCCTGTTCATCAATTGTTCTCAGGCTCCCCTTATAAAACCCCCCAAACCCATCTCTGTCCACACCCCGCATATCTGTAACACCTTTCAACCTCAAGGACCTAGCAAAGTTTGCTAATTTGGGGGAGTAGTCTTCAACTTTGCTCCCCCTACTTGAGTTAACAGACTTAGACCGGTTCATGTTCATATCCTGATCATCCCTTTGAGCCCAATTATTCGTTGGATTCTTTGATGATGGCATATGATTATCAACATATCCAACTCCTTTCTCCGCTCGATTATGCTCTTGCCTATATTCCCTCACATTTTTATCATCACCAAGGAAGACGTTCTCCTTGTTTATTCTTGCTGAAACACTGTTGAAATTCATACTTTTTTCTCCAAAATCTCTCTCCTTTCTCCTATTTATACCCTCGACTCCACAAATTTCAGTCTCAGAAGCACTACGTAGACTACCTCCTTTACCTAACTGACTATCCACTTCCTCACAACCCCCTCTTCCCTTCTCCTTAATGGACTTGTCCAGAAACCCATTACCAGCCGGCTCTTTCTTCTTCGCTGTATAGTCAAAGAAAACCAACAAAGTCTCTCAATGAATGCCTTTTTAATTACACAGAAACCGACAGATAAACAATTGCAAAAAAGAAAAAAGAACAACTTCAGAATGTTCTCTTCTACATATTAGCATGAGCTATTCTTTTTTTTTTTTTCTTTGCTTTGATTTCTCAGCAATAAAACAAGAGAAGGTTAACTGTAAGAGAGAGCTAACCTCGAAGTACAGCACCGCAAGAGCCACACTTGTAGACAGAGTACTCAGGAAGCTCCTGCAACAGATTTTTACACTTAAAGCAACGAACAAACCGAACTTGTGATTCCTCAGCCATTACTAATCACCAACAGCAAAGCCCCAGAGACTCAATGAAACAAACCAACTAAACCATTAAACTATCCAAAAAAAATTCACCAAAAGAGAGAAAAAAAAACGCTTTTTGGTTTCTCCAATTCCTACACAATCTTTGCTTCAAAAGATTCAAACTTGAGACATACGAAGTTTACTAAAACAGAAAGTTACGAAAGAAAAAGAAAGGAAGTAAGCAAGAAATTGTGTCCTCCATGGGGAGAGAAGAGTTTTTAATTGTCCAAGAATCTGTTCTTCCTAGTGAAGAAGTTTGGAGGGAAAAAAAAAAAAGAAAAAGTCGTAATAACATCGTTATTCTTTAGTCGTTAGAAGAACGGGCCCCCAAAACTTGTAACGTGTTCAAAGTTTCTATCAAAATTTCGTAGAAAAAGGCTGCCACAGAAAAGGGTTTATCTTGCTTGCTTTGGTTTGAAAAAAGAATACAATGGCCTGATTGACGGGACTTGTTTCGAGAAGGAATGCGCTTGGCCTTTAGATCACACAGTGAACATACACAATTTTGGATGCCCCCAAACACCGGTGGACAATTTTCTTAGGCATTATATCAAATCCGAAGAGATAAGAGGATTTACTCACCAGGAAAAACTGTTGGAAGACAGAGTACAGAAAACAGAGTACCGACCATATGCTGGTTTTCACCCTTGACCTTTTCTTCTTAAATTGGAGTTATGTCAAAGGAAAATCATTGGGTTTTTTTTTTCATTTTTTGGGTACAGAGGGAAAATACTAGAATATTAAAGTCATGTAAATTTGTTTCTTTATGAATAAATGTTGCATAAATATTGCAGACTGGACCCTGTTTCTTGTTTAGATATCTAGCGAGATTGAGACCTAAAAATGCCAAAATTAGCGCTATATAAGAAGTTTAGACACATAGTAGGAAAATAATTTACTGATTTTGTCATCGATATTGTTTTTATATAGTACCACAGACAATAAAAGCAACCATAAATTGCAGACAAACATTATCAAACACGTACTGTACAAAAACGCGGTTAGAGAAAAGGAGAGTTGATGCCGTAAACTAGGCGCTGGTAAAGACATTTATGGTCCTGCCAATCCTGGAAATAGCTAGGAAGTCAGAGAAGAATGCAACGGCCAAAAACCGTCTTCTCATCAACATCATTAGAACCCTTTTTTATCCATCGGTTAATCTTACATTGAAGTGAGTTGAGTGGCGTTGATCATGGAAAAGGAATGAGATTAATTCATGGGAACGGCCAAGTCAAAAGGACTGAATAAGCTTTTTGACTCTCACGATCCAAAAAAAGGAGGGTTTGGTGCAAATTTGCCCATTATTTCTGTGCATGTTTGAAATTCATTAGAGCAAACCTTGAGGTTTTCTGCAAGTTCTTATTGGCAGAGAGAATTGAAAAGGGGTTATAGTCGTTTTCATGGTATCTAAGTTGCCGAATGGAGGATGTCGATGCTTATTAGAAAATTACTAATAGTAAAAAAAAAAAAAACATTGAATGTTTCCATCAAAAAAAAATGTAAATCTCGTGATCTAACAGGTACTAAAGTGTGATGCTGTATTATTCTGACTATGTCATAGCTTTTACTGTTCTTCACTAAGAAAACAATGATATCTGTTGCTGCTTGTCTTACCACTAACCAGGTCATTTTACCAAGTCAGAAAGTTAGTCAAGTACTAGCTTGGAGGTTCATTTTAAGGGGAATTTCTACCATTTAGAGAGTCAATGGTGTTTTAGTGGTGAGAAGCTTTGAATATGATGAGAGATACTACATTCATAAATGGATACTAAGTTACTTGCACATGGCAAAATATATGCAATGATGACCAAACAGCAAGACTTCAGGCCTCCCCTCCCAGACCAGGACATTCGTACTACCAACACTCTAGTCTAAACTCTGTGTTACTTCCTACAGCTTAGAAGTCAAAAACCGTCATCTCCATTTGCATATGCTGCGGCTAGCTAACCTTTTCACACTAATTGACACTAATTGGCCAGTTTTTTCTTTCTTTTCCTATCGTTTGTATTAGTTTTGTCATTTGTCGCACCTTGTTCACTTGAAAATCAATTCCAAATCAAAGGGTGGGCTGAAGGCCAATTAACCAATTCAGTGTGGGTCACTGTTAAATTCAGTTCATGTTGGGCTTTTCATGGACTACGAAAGGGGATAATTACAGTTAGCCCAGTTTGATTAGGAGATGTTATGTTCTGCAAAAGATTTATGATTAGCATGTCGCCTGAAGAAAAGATTTACTGAAGTAAAATTGAGCTTCACTAGATAGTATATGTTAGCAATATCGTAACCAAGATTGCCACAGAAGCTATAGAGCTAAAACTTGCCTCCATTTATGTTTTCTTCAATTCTACAGCTTCTTCCTGCTTGCATAAACTAACCCCTGTTGCACAAACTACAGAATCCACTCCAAGGCGGTTTGTCCTTTTGTCATTTTCTGTCCTGTCTAAACCTCATCTTCCAGAGCGTCCACTTCATAGCTTTTCTGAACAATCCTACTGCATCAAGATTGCCCATTTCCCCTTCAACTCTCGCTTCTGCTTTCGGCTTGTTTGATATGATTCTGAACTGCATCGACGGCCTGCAAGGATATGGCAAGGCCGTCGTGTGCCTCTCCAGGACATGACCAAATGAAGCCAATTCGTAACAATCATACAAAGGACTCCCGCAGTCCCATATGCTATCACTTTCCTTTGCCTCTGATCTTTATTTTTTCTTCTCCATGATCAAAACAAAAACACTAGATTGGGTTTCGGGACAACCACCCACCTCTCTCTTCTTAAACTTCTCAACGTTTTTTGTCCTATCTTCTTCAGAACATGACATGATGTCACTTAATTAGGCTCGTCTGGTTAAGACAATATGCTACATGTTGGTTGATGATGCAGAAACGGTCAAATTCCAACCATTGGAACAACATGATTGGGGGGATTTCAGCTCGTTACAGTTGGAGTTGTTGCATTAAGCATGCATTAGCATATGCTCATTTGCTCGTCAAATGCATACGAAGGGCTGGGCAAATGAATAATTTAACTGAAAGGACGGCACTAGCCACCTATCTTGAAATAGAAGCTGTACATCAAAGCTTTGTTTAATGTTGTCTTGACTCACCGTTGCCATGGTTTTGTATCAGTGATCCGACAAGTAGACCACAGATGGACTGGACGGACGGCTTTTATGTTTTATAGCATCTAGTCTTCGCTTTTGGCTTATAAAAATAAACTGTCTTTAGTCTCATTCTTTGTTTTTCCTCAGTTTCCGCCCACCGTTTCTAGTTTCGACAATTGATGGTTTTTGGGAATTGATTCGTATTATCTTGATCATTCATGAATACAATACACATTCACGTGACACGTGAATAACTTTGTGAATAATCAATAGCTCCCATGGTCCAAATCAGCACGAGTTTTCTCTTTCTGATTTTTAGTTTGAATGGCAAGAGTAAGAAAAAGGTAAAAGGATGAGAAGAAAGGATAGATGGAAGGTTTCAACAGAGTCTGCAGATACATGGGGGAAGCAAATGAAGGGCAAATGGCCAAGCATGGCCCTGGTACATACCGCATCTCAGATTTCAATTCCTAGGCTAGTAGGCTAAACCAAATCAAATTTCCAAGTTGGAACAAGAACCGGATTTCTGAACCATTAAAGAAAGGGAAAGTGCACTTATCAATGCCATAGATAAAGTGGGAAGGTTTGAGAATCATTTCTAGCACAAGAATCTAAAAAACTAAGTGGACAGGTACCCGGCCATGGTATCCATCGCCTTCCACTACACGTTATAATGTTTTCAGTTAAGAATAACCCACTTTTTCTCTGTACAAAAAGGTTGGAAAATCACAGCTCCAACTTGCAGTGAAAGAAAAGACTAGGTTCTACATTCCTTCCAATTTTTGACTCCTGCGCCCTTTTCCCACCAATATTATAAATACTAACACAAAGACAGAATATTTCCAGGCTTTTCAAAAGGACAAAACCAGTTAAATCACCCCAAATAACAAGATTAGTAGGTTTCAGTTTCACACGTTTGCACATACAGGAAAACGTATAACCACCCTCCTGGGTAACTTCCTGCACCATATCTGAACGGTTGAACCTGAAACTCTGAAGAAGCCATGGAATGCTTTTTGCCTTTCGCCATACGAAAAAGCTCCCACTCATTTCCCTGTCCAGCATGTGGATAGAAATGACCCATCGATGTTGCCATAAAAGTCACAGTCTTATTCAAATTCCACAATGCTTTTTCTTTTTCTATATTGATGGTGTTCAGGCTTTAGGCTATGTGCTTGGAAATTTGCCATCAACAAAATTTTTGTGGACCTAACCCGACGCATCGAACAAGCCACAGCTTTGGCTTGTAGAGAGAGAGAGAGAGAGAGACAGCGACATTATGGATAAACCCAGGTCCATTATATATTAATTCATCTTACTTTGGTTGAATACCATACTAATTCCTTCCATATTTCCATATATGTATTTTCTTTCTGGAGGAGAAAATCATCCAAAAGAAGTAAAACCGATATCATTAACGCTTTCCAAATAAAAACGGCAATAAGCCATTACGGGGAAAGGACCTGCTGCTTTTGCCTTAGCGTACGCAATGTGGATATGTAAATATTTGGATTCTTTTAAAAAATATCCTTGATAAATAAAATATTTTTAAAAATAATTTTTTTATAATTTCAATTATTTTTAATTAAAAATAATTAATTTTAAATTAAATTACACTTAATGAAATCGATCTATATATTTAAGTCTATTTTTTAAACCAACTCATATTTTTTTAACTTTTTTCGTCAATCTATTCATTTTTAAAGTATTTTTTATTAAAATATTTTAATTTATAAATATATCTAATCAATTTTAATTTTTTAATTTTAAAAATTTATAAATATAAACTAATAAATCAAAAAACTTAAAACATATACCTTGATGTCATCTCTACTTTTTAATATGATGAGAAAAAATTGAATGATGAAACAGATAATATTTAATAAAAAAAATTAAGATTTAATTTTAAAATTTTTATTTGGATGACGAAATAAAAAATATCGATATTATTTTAATTTGTATGAAATTAAAAAATATTACTATCAAATCATTTTAAAAATTGATTAAAAATAATTAAAATTATAATAAATAATATTTTTAAATTATGCTTATAAGAAAGGTTTTCTTATATAATTTTTTTTAAATATCACGAATACCATGAGCTTGGAGCAGTGCTTGAATTATACATCCAACGATTGAAAAATATGTCAGGCGAATTGAATCGTCAGGTTGGTCAGTTTGACTCAAATCGAATTGGGTCTGAAATCTAAGATTTGACTGGATTTTATTATTATATATATTTTTATTTTTTATTTTTATTTAATTTTAAATTATATTTTAAAATATTTTTATAATTTAATAACAAATTTAATTAAATAGACTTAATTTGATGAATTTAGTGTTGTCTTGATACGTGAAGAGGGGGCAAAAAAATTCCACTTCAATAAGAGCTAAGCTAGTTGACTGAAAAAACAAGGTTAGGGGTAGTGTTAGGTGTTGCTAAAGAAAAAGGCTAATTGTAGTGAATTAAATTAATGATCTTTTACTGAATTGAAGATAGTCCCCATGAGTTTTAGTTCATCAATTAAAGTTTTATTAACGATTACTTAACTTTCATTAATTGTATAGACAAATTATACTCTTGAAGTTATTTCTCTATTTTTCTTTGTCAAAAATTATTTTTACTATATATATTCTTCTAAATAAGTATCACATTCTTTAATTATAGTCAATATTTAAAGTATTAATAGAAAATTATTATTAAATATATTGAATAATCTTGTTAATCTTTTCATCAACGAAACACGATCTAAATTCAATGCTAAAAAATATTAAAAAAAAAAGCAAAGATTTTCCACCAACCAAACATAGAGTAAATTCATTGTCCCGTTTATTTTTAATTAAATGCAGTGACCGTACATTTGAGCCACGTTTCTCTATTTTTTTTTTATTTTCCCGTTATTTATGAAATTGTAGCCCAAAAATGAATAATCCATTTCCCCAGTCTCCAAATTTTCATATATAGAAAGCTCCCAGCCGAACAGTTTTTTAGTTGTATTTTCCTCCAAAGGGCCTCCCTTTTGTTTCTTTTTTCAACTCCTCAGCCAATGGTCGCTCACTCTCACTCGTTCCCATAATCACCGGAGAGAGGATCCCCTCTTCTTTGCCGATCACCGGTAAACGCCCCACTTTGACCGGATAAGCTAGGGTTCCAACGATATATTTTCTTTTTTTTTTGTTCATATTATTCTTCTCTCTCCTGAGAAATGGCGTCCGAGGATGTGAAGAGGAGCGAGTCGGCGGTCACGACGATCGTGAATCTTGCTGAAGAAGCGAAGCTTGCTAGTGAAGGAGTTAAAGCACCGAGTCGCGCGTTCCTTAGTATTTGCAAGTCTCTTGTTGCTGGTGGTGTCGCTGGTGGAGTGTAAGTGCGTTTTTTTTTTCTTTTGGATCCGATTTTTGCTTGTTTTCTCTCTTTCTTTTTTGTTTATTTTATCTGGAAGTAATTTGATCATATTTTTAACCTTCTTTTGAAAAATTGTATGCTGTTTTAGTTACTTCAATCTTGACACAACGGAAAAGAGCTTTCTTTCTCCTTCTCGTTTTTGCTTCATTCAATTGAGTTTTTTTTTTCATTTTCAGGAAACTTTTTTTGATATTATTTTTTCTTCTGAATAAATTTCTCTGTTTTAGAAAGCTGTGATTTTTTGAAGGTTGAGAAATCGAAGAAAGTATCTTTCTTTTTCCCTTTGTTTTGTGTAAGCCATTAAAGTATATGACTATTTGTCAAAAATAGTTCTTACTCTTCTTTTTTTTGATGAAAATGTTCTCATATATGTTTAATTCTTTCTTGCAACTATTAAAATCTGGGACTCTTATTTTCTAATAAAACTCTGATCATGTAAATATTCAATTTGGGTTTCGTTTCCCCTGGTATTTTTGAAGAAAGGGATGATGAACGTGTACAGTTCACTGTCTGGTACTAATTGTTAACGATTCAGAGATTCTCTGCGATGCAAAAAGCTTGTTTAAATGAACAGTTAATTTGTTATAGAATAATAGTTTCATGTTGCTTGATTTTTCAGAGAAAGCCCTTTTTCCCCTTCTAGGATCTTACAGGACTTGGTTAGGATTTTAATAGTTTGTGATGTATTTACAAAAGCATCTCGTGAATATGGTTGCTACCATTTCTTATATTATGACTCTTAATGAGTTGGAAATGGCCTTTAAACTTCAAGGATGAACATGGTGACGTTTGATGCTTTGAGAAATTTGATAGTAACAGTTGTGGCTTGATGGGAGTTCTGAGAATTGAATGGAGGATCTGAGGGAGGATTGAATCTTGTGATGTTGATACGTCATTTTGTGATCTAAAAAGTTTGCTGGCAACTTTTGTTGCCTGAAAAATAGTTGTGGGGTTTGTATGGAAGATCAGAAGGAGAAATATTACCATGTTAACATTTGGATGGTTTTCTTCATTTGACATGCCTGCACCCTGTGCTAGGATCGTAGAATACTGCTGCATCTATATTGTGTTAGGATCATGCTTGACTTACTATTTTCATTGCTAGTTTTCCTTCACTGAATGTATATCTTTTTTCTTCAGGTCACGTACTGCTGTCGCTCCCCTAGAAAGATTAAAAATATTACTTCAGGTAGTTTATTTATCATTGTCATTTGGTCCTTATTCATTACGTTCTCATTTTATTTGTATGATATTAGGTTATATTCCAATGTCGTTTCACTAATGGTCTCCTCAGTCATCTAGTGTAAAGATTCAACTTACTGTATATTCTCAGTTTTGTTTAGTGTGCTAATAATTAGAGCTTTACATGTGTGTCATGTTTGATAGAGTATCTGTATTATAGTTATGATTTCTTTCTTTTACAGAATGTAGAACTGATAGGATTTCCTTTCCGAATCTGCAGGTTCAGAATCCTCATAGTATAAAATACAATGGAACAATACAGGGTTTGAAATATATATGGAAAACTGAGGGTTTCAGGGGAATGTTTAAAGGCAATGGTACTAATTGTGCTCGCATCATTCCTAACTCAGCGGTGAAGTTTTTTAGCTATGAGGAAGCATCTAAGTAAGCCTTGGCAGCTCCTATCTTCACTATTAACATTTAGTTGTTCTTATCACAGTTATTTTCCACATCAGTTAAAGGATGCATATTTTAATGTTCAAAAAATGAAGATTTATCCTTGAATTGCTGTATGTGTACTATAAAGTATGAACTAATCTCTTCCTTTTTACTTCTTTTTGAATATAGGGGGATTTTGTACCTTTACCAGCAGCACTCAGGAAATGGTATGCCTGTATCTTTTTGCCTCTATAATTGTTGCTGTTAGTTATCACTCAACTACTCTTGTAAACCTTCTTGAGATTTGAAGTTGATCTGTATTATTCAATTTCATTTACTATATGCAATTATTGAGGTAAATGTGTCCTGCTTGTGAACTCAGTGTAGTAAATGCCTGATTTTGTGTCAAAAGAACAAGTGCTCTGGATTCTGTTGACAAAGGATGTGCATCTGTACATGCTTTTTGTCTGCATGTAGTACCGTGAAGTGTGGGAATGAATCCTGTGTTGATGCCTGTAGTGCTATTCTCTTCCTATAACTAATTCATGTTTTTTCTGTCTAGAATAGTGCTGAATGGGGAAAAAGGAATCTGTTTTTTGGCCCTGATTGGCAGAAGATGAGTTTGCATTCTGTAGGTAGTAATTATTGAGGTTGAGGTTAGCATATTTACTTTTTACTTCATTTCATTTTGTCTTGCAGAGGATGCTCAACTCACTCCAGTTCTACGCCTTGGAGCTGGTGCATGTGCTGGAATTATTGCCATGTCAGCCACTTATCCAATGGATATGGTGCGAGGTCGTCTAACCGTCCAGGTAATTTTTTGACTTTCTTTTTGAGACCTTAATTTGTTTACTTATGTTGGATGAACTCTCTTTTGCCTGGGGGGATGGGCTGGCCTTTTCTTATCCGACTTTGATGGCTAACGTCCACGTGTTATATTTGCAGACTGAGAAGTCACCTCGCCAGTATAGAGGAATCTTTCATGCTCTTTCAACAGTATTACGGGAAGAAGGTCCTCGTGCTTTGTACAAAGGCTGGTTACCTTCTGTAATAGGAGTTGTAAGTAAAAATTTTTGTGGTCTGGATGCCTGCATTGTTTACTGTCAATTGCACTACAGGGGTGTGCATTCAGATGGATGTAAACTTCTGCTAGGATGATGCGTTCCATTTCTAGTCTGCCTGAAATAGTGTGTTTTAGTTTTCTATGGCATATAGCTGTCCATTGGCAAAGAATTGAAGTCCAATGTCTGATCCTTTTTACCTTGTATCTGTTTGAATTTTATATACTGAAAGAATCTTTCTCCTTATTTTTGTTTGCAAAGGCCTAAATGATTTTTATGGTGTTTATAGGTACCCTATGTGGGTCTTAACTTTGCGGTTTATGAATCTCTGAAAGACTGGTTGATCAAAAGCAAACCATTTGGGCTAGTTGAGGACTCTGAATTGGGTGTCGTGACAAGGCTTGCATGTGGGGCTGCTGCTGGAACTGTTGGCCAGACAGTTGCTTACCCTCTTGATGTCATTCGACGGAGAATGCAGATGGTGGGCTGGAAAGATGCTGCTTCAGTTGTCACTGGTGATGGGAAGAGCAAGGCCCCTCTTGAATATACTGGTATGGTTGATGCATTCAGGAAAACAGTTCGGTACGAGGGCTTTGGAGCATTATACAAGGGTTTGATTCCCAATTCCGTGAAGGTTAGTCTAACCTTCATCTAGCTATTTCTTCATCACAGCTACAGATTGCTTTTTCGCCATCATTAATTACCTTTTTACAGGAGCATTAGCTTCTTGCATTTGGTTTGAATAATGTGTCGTTTATACTTCTTAACTTCTTTACTCTATATTGCTCCTTGCCATATTCTTCAGGTGGTTCCCTCAATAGCAATTGCATTTGTCACATACGAGTTGGTGAAGGATGTTCTCGGGGTTGAGTTAAGGATATCAGACTGAAGGAACTCCCAAGATATTTTGGTCAATCTTTTGTGAGTAGAAGGAAAGGAGTATATCATAGGTCATATATCTTCCTCACTTACAGCCCATCCTCTTTCAGTCTTAGGTTGTTAGCTTCCTAATTCATAATATGTTGTGACAATAAAGTATATACACTGATAGGAAACGATGCAGTTGATATACACTGATAGTTTTATTTTAGTGAAGTTAAAATCTCTTGTTGCCAAGTTCTATTTGTGATTATTGTTATTATTTTAATTAAATACCAAATGTAACACACTGTTAATAACCTGGCCGTACTCTGCTTTTTTCGACTAATAATTGACATTACAAAATATTAGAATTACGACTAAACAGTAAAATCAACTACGAAACCCATTTGGGTCTTTTTTTTTTTTTTTTAGCTTTTCCTAGGAAATCTAACTCAAAAACCAGAGTTTTTTTCCTTGTAGAGAAAATCCTAAGCAAACGGTTTTTCTTTACATGCAAACAAGATTTATGAGACATATATGCTAACTAAACATCACCTTAAGAAAGCCTTTTATCAACAGCCCAATCTGTCGAGTGAAAGAAAAAAAAATGAAACAATAAAAAATAAATCCATAAATGCAAAACCAGAATGAACACGATGGAATGGAAAAATATGAGGGACTTGATTCTAGGTTGCCCTCTGGACTCTGGTAGTTTTCGAGAGGATTTCCCGTAGGTCATCGCAACGGCTGCGGTGGTAATCAATCCACACGCAGAGCTGCCTAATGGCCTCCCTCTTCTCCTCTCCTAGACCTACTATGCCTTGATCCTTCTCTTTCATCACTGTCTCCAAGAATTCCACCTTCTTCTCCAGATGCTTCACTGCTTTGATCAGATTCTCCCTTTCCCTTTCTTCCTTGTCTGCCTTAGTCCGTAGCTTCTCCGCTCTTTCACGTAACATAGATTCTCTTTCTTTCTGATCTTTCAGCTGCTCAATCAAACTAGTCACTTCATTGATTAGCCGCTTCTTTTCACTCTTTGTTTCTGCAACCCAGTGTTTTGCAATCCTTAGCTCTTTGGATGTTTCTTCAACGCAGTGCTCGTAGTTTCCATAGCCCTCTTCCAAGTTCTGGATGACAGCTTCAAATCCGGTCAAGGTACTATTCACATTCTCTGCGATATCAGTGATCATCCTGCAATGTGCTTCTTGATTTGCAGCAATTGTTCCAGCCAATGTCGTGATCCTTTCTTCAAGTATTCTTTGTTCTTCCAGGAACTTTGCTTCTGCTGTTCTGAAGCTCTCTTCCTTCTCAGTTAGTAACTGTTCTGTGACTCGAAGCTTTTGGTTTGACAACCGGAGCTTAACTTCAATTGTGCGGACGTTCTCGACCAAGGTATTGAGCTCATCTACTTTCATTTCTAAATCACTTTTCAAGTCGTCAATAATTTGCTCCAAATCAGCTACTCTTTGATCTTTAGATTGAACGTTCATATTGTGCTCTCCTGCCATTTCTTGCATCTTCCTTTCTGTGACTTCAATAATTACCTTGCAGTCCTGAAATGAAGTTTCAAGTTGTTTATACTCCTCGCTTAGCTTGTTAAATGCATCTTCTTGTTCTTTTAGCATTCTCTGATGATCTGTAATCTGGTTTGTGAAGTCATTTTTCTCAACTCCCTTTGCTTCCAAATCTCTTTGAAGGTCTTCAACCATTTGCTTCAGATCAGCTGCCATCTGACTTTTAGATTCGATGTTTCTATGGAATTCTTCTGACATTTCTTCAATCTTCCTTTCTGCTACTTCAAGATTTTCCCTGCAATCTTGGTATAACCTCTCAACCTGTTTGCATTCCTCGGCCAACTTCTTATGCGCCTCCCCCTGTTCTTCTAGCATGCTCTGCTGATTGTTGATTTGGCTTTCCAGCTCAGATTTATGGTTCTCCATTTCAGTCAGTCTTTCTGATGATTCTTGTTTCTCCCTCTCGAGCTGCAACTCCTGTTCGTTTCTCTGGGTCTGTAAGGAATCCAATTCCTGCTGCAAATTGTTGACCTGCACCACTAAGGCCGTTAATTGGGAAGAAGTTTCATTCTCTGTGCTT